TAACCGTTTTATTTTCTATTTGGGTTTATGTATATGCTTTATTTTTTAAGATTAATAGTTTTTTCCAAAGCATTGTTAGATGCCAGTGTTTCCTGTCTATGCAAAGATTTGTTTTCAAAAACAGTATCATAGCTATTAAACTATATCTTGTGATTTTAAATCTGTATTTAACCGCAGAACAATCTCAAAGTAAAAAGAGGTGCTAAAGTCTGATTTTGTGGTGGCTGCGCTTCAAAATTAAATTATTATAATATTTATTTAAGTCAAGAAGGATTTTAGAAGTCTGACAGTTGTCAGTGTTGAGTACTACTGTTAGGTTAACCCTGCCTGCTTTATCAAATTTAGAAAAGTAATCAAAAAGTAATCAGTTACATTAATAAAGTAAATGAAATAGTTACACTACTTATTACATTTTAAATAGGGTAACTTGTAATCTGTAACCTATTTCCAAAGTAACCTTCCCAACACTGGATATAATATTGTGACGATTAGATGCATATATATTTATAACCATGTAAGAATTTTTCTTCAGCACCAAACACGACATTTACTACATTAATGTTGTGTATTAAGTGTTTTGACAGCTGTGGAGGATCACAAGTATCATGCGATGGTCCGGTTTCAGTTTATCGTAAAATTACGCGAAACAAAGTAACTTAAACACTAATTTTGAACATTCGAGGACAAAGTGCAACTTTAATAGAATGTTTATTACTTTTATCGATCATCTCCCGGTGCACTGCGGTTCATTCAGTCTGTATGTCGAACTTTATTCACTTTCGGTAACGCATCAAACGAAAACAAACACGAGCAGACCAATATAGCTCGCGGAGTGGTTAACTTTCTACTAACCTAGATGTTGCATGATTGTCCTGTTGGCCACACTCTACTTTATTCCCCTTGTCCCCGTTTCCTTTAAACCCCTCTTGAGCCCCATCTTACTGTTTATTTAGCGACCTAAACCGTCTAACAGTTACCTGGATGCTTTCCAGGTCTAGATTGATCGCAAACATATAACGTATATTTGTATTTACCTGCAGCGAAGTGAAGCGGGGTGGACTTGCGCCCGGCCATGTCCTGTGCGTTTACATTGACCGAATCCACCAGCCTCTTCACCCGAGACACGTCCCCATTCCTGCAGGCCTCAAACAGTTCTCTGAAAGCCCCACTCGTCCCGCAGACGCTGCCTCCAGGACTGGCACTACCGGAGTCGGGAGTGGAGCCCGCACTACTGCCCCCGCCGGTGGTAGACGAGCTAGCGCTGCTCGAGCTGGAGCTGCTGCTGCTGGTGCTGAGGAGCGGAGCGGGGACTTCAGCAGCGATCTCCGGATCCCCGATGCTTTCCGGCCTCTCGCCAGCCGCAGAGCCGCAGGTGTCTGTGGGGGACTCTGGAGGAGTGAGGGGACTGGGGTCGGGTCTTAGTGGGGAGGATAAGTTTTGTTGTTGTTGCTGCTGGGAAGTGCGACGAGACGTCGCCATTTTCGCACTCAAATCCCCCTCTGGCAGCGAAAACAGTCGGGGAGAACTTCCGGGAAGTGTCAGGGTAAAACTTCCGCTTGCAAATGACCAAAACGGACAAATAATATTTTTTTGCTATCTGTGTCTTAACACCATGGTAACCACAGTTTCCGCCAGCTAAAATCAGGGGAGGCTTGGTATCATCAAATAAATAAACTAATAAATGAAATTAAACAAAAAGACAAATAAACAGGCAGAAATATATTGTTCTGAATATAAAACGACAAATAAATCTCTGTTAAGTGTTATGTAAGTAAATCTAGCCTACCTAAATGTTAGTCAACAGAACTCAAAATAAAACATTCCTGCTATTATTGTCGATGGTTTATTCCTGCTAAAGAGAAAAAAAGCATTTAAACTAGTCTAAGATGGTTTGCTGGTCTTCCAATGCCTGCCTTGTTAAAAGGTGACTAAAAAAACCTTTAAACCAGTTGTCTTACCAAGCAGAGCAGCTAAAACCAGAAAACCATCTTACTTAGTCTGTTTTTTTTTCCAGCAGGGATCATCAGTGCATATAGAGCGTCTTTCAATATATGAGTAAAATAAGATCTGTGATTCACAAACTGAATTCAATAGTTGTATGATTCAACAAGCACGTAAACTTTGTTTTTTAACAGATCAACATACTTTTGTTTACAACATCAAATCCAAAGTTTGTCTTGGATGTATAAGCAGCTGTTTATGAAAAAAAAAACTTTGCTACTCATTTCCTTGATCCTCATTGGGCAACTCAACCATCACTGATCCAATATTGACAAAACAAAACAGCAGATTGCTCCTCTGTAACAGTCTGTTTTAACTGTTGCTAGATATTAAGCTAGTGAAAGTGATGACCTTCTGAGGTCAGAGTTCTTTTATTCAGCTGTTTGGAAATATTTGGTTGCCAAAGCTGAAACACTTACCCAGAATGAACCTATGCTTAAGTATCTAAGGTTCTGTTTGTTTGATTCCTGTTACATAATGACAATGTTTGCGTGAGAATCACAGAACTCTTATCACACCGACAGTCCAACGTTACTGTTTACAAAGTTATTTGATTTTCTCCTCATGTTCAAAAGTTCTAAAGTGTAAAATACAAGGGACTGTCTGAGTAAACAAGAAAAAAAAAAAAAAAAAAAAAAAAACATTATGTGATGCCCAAATTCACAGTATTCATAAAACAGTAGGCAATGACCTACTACTACCGGTGAGATTCTGAAGTGCACATCCAATAGACACTTTACTATCCAAGAAGGCCATGGGAGAGGATCGACTAAACTTATGCTGGTACTGTAGGCCATATAATATAGGTCAACATGACGAATGTAGTATATCCAAACTGCATTCATACTACACATTCGTAGAACATGCTTTTAACAGCAGTGAAGTAATTATTCAAAAAAGTGCCACAGAGAATATACTATTTCGGACACAAGGTTTTCCAGTTAATCCTTTCCCTTAATTTGTTATGCTGATAATGTCTTGGGGGGAAAATGTAAAATTGTTTTAAATATACACAGGATTGAATGTACCCTGGAAGTTCTACAGCTGCTCCATTTCTGTCATCACTGCTCTGTCAATCACAGAGGTTCACAAATGAACCCATGTAGCCCCTGTACAAGTACTGATGTGCCTTTCTGCATGGGTGTCATACCAGCTGTCATAAGCGTCCAGTGCTGTAAACATGTCTGAAAATACTTTTCCAAGCACAATACTTCAAATTATTGTCGCATATGTTTTTGTCTGAAAGAAATAAAGATATTAGAGTGCATAATCACAAATAAATACAACACCTACACAAATATATTTTCTTTTAGACTTTGTGTATTTATGGACCTTTTGTTTTATTCATAAATGATCAAACATATTGCACAATGCAGCAGCATGACCTCCATTTGACCTCTTCTTGTCACCTTTATGTACAGTTGTCCTATTGATTCGGAATGAACAAGCCTGAACAGCTGTTCTCCTGTTAACCTTCTCTACAGTCTGTTTTAGTTCACTATTTCACAACCCATGCGCCTAAAACAGCTTCTCCTTTTCTACTGACTATGGCTGTTTTTTGGCCCTACAGTGTTACTGTATCTGGAATTATCGATGGATTTTCCACACTATCTGTGCATCAGTTGTGGCAGCAGTAGGATGAGGTATACCACAGTGTCCCAATGTCTCCACATTGACACTGAGTATAATTCTGACTCCTATATGATGAACAATTTTGTTCAGCTTGACTTTTAATTAAATATAAAATATGTATTGTTTTTTAAATGTTAAATTTCTAGGATATAGAGTCTTAATAAAGTCCACTATAAAGTACAATATTGGGATTTTGGGAGCAGAGAAAGGATGTTTGAAAAAAAACATTGCTTAGAGGTGATGCACACAATTATGCACATGATCAAAATACTGTATTTACCTTACTTAACCTTTTAAATTGTCTAAATAGACTTGCATGCTATGCACAGTGATAGAGATAGGATATTAGATTAATTACTGACACCACAGTTTCCTGAGCCAAAATCAGCTAGATTCTGTTTCGCTGTTGACAGACAGTAGTCAGTATTTTTCTTTCATTGCATGTTGCTTTGACTTCATCTACATGTGATTGGCATGTTGGACACTCATTTTAGACTGATTTATGCTAGTGAAGGCCAGAAACTATGAACATTACAACCACAGGATAAAAAAAAAAGACTTTTTATTTCTCAATTCAGACATTCGAGTTTGCATTTCGCAATTCTGACTTTGTTCTGAGAATTCTGACTTTATCCCACAAATCAGTTTTTTTTTTTTTCTGGTACAGAATTAAAAATAAAAAAAGTAATTGACACTTTTTATCTTACAATTCTGACTTTTTCCCTATGAATTCTGAGTTTACATCTTGCAATTATTTTTTCATCAAAATTCTGACTTTTTTCTTACAATTGCAAGCATATACTTTTCTGACATTTCTTCTCAGAATTCTGACATTGTATCTCACAATTCTACGTTTTTTTTAACACGATTGTGAGTTTATATCTCACAATTCTGAGTTTATATTGTGCAATTATGACTTTTTTCTTAGAACTGTGAGGAAAAAATAAAGAATTGTGATATATAAACTCAGAAATGCAAGAAAAAAGTCTGAATTGTGATAAAAGGTCACATGATACAACTAGACAACAACCACGGATGTCAAACAAATCAGTTTCAAGAGTGCTTGTCCCCTACTAGACAACAGTGCTGAACACATTCCTTTGCATTTCCATTCTCAATGCACATATGTTAACACAATAATCCCAGAATAACTAATGGAATGAACTGAAACATTATCTGCACTGGTCATAGAATGTGAAAGCATTTAGAAGTTAGTGGGTTCATGTTTATGGAAGTAAAAGTGGTGGATATTTTTAAAACACAGGGGGGCCTCCAGACATGGCCTACTGACCCCCAGTCTTTGCAGTCACGTGACATGCCATTGCTCAGCATGGGGTGCATGCATGCCCCTGTAGCCTGCCGTGATTGGTCCAAACAGGTAGTTCACGTGAACACGGGCTGATCATGGCAAAAATTTAATTTTGGTGCCGGCCGGTACAGCTAGGAGGCTCGCTCATTCCGGACGCACATTAGCACGAGCGTATTACTCTAGTGAGCTGAAGCTGCATTCACTAACACGAGACACTGGGCTTGGTGAAGAAGTTTGACCCAGTTCAAATGCCGTGACACAGGTATGCATGAACTTATGCTCTCAATTTGTTTCTCTGGATCAGTTTAAAGCGCACTGGAAGAGCGCTGATTTGATTCGTGTTCCAGCACGAAAAGATTTTTAATCTAAGGGAGGGAGGAAACTTTTATTAAACACGGTAGTGCCCAGGGAAACGGCTGCAAACCAGGAAGAGCATGACGCAGAGCGACATATGATATTAGGCTTAAAGTTTTTAATAGATATGGAAAGGGAAGCAATCTTGCATATCATTGGGATTAAAAAAAATCAAAATCAAAGATTAAGAGAGGAGGGGTTGATCAGAAACGAAGGCAGCAGTATGATAAAGCGTGATGGTATGTTGGACCTGGGCGAAAGTTGCAACTGCAAATGAGCTTCAACAGGTGCGAAACCATTTGGTTCTAAAGCTAATTGCCATTGCCTATTATTTCAAATCACCATTTTCTGTTTTAATCTAAAGCCAATCTTTCTCGAGCCTTACCTAGACAGACCGGAACAATGTTTCATTGTTCCTGACCGTATATGGATACAAGAGATTTTGGGAGTTTTTTTGTCTCAGACTTTTTGAAATTATATTCTCAGAATTTGCTGTCTACAAATTAAAGTTGTTTTTTTGAAACCTATTGCTTATCTTGACATTGTGTAAATTAATGTAAAATTACAAAGAGGGCTGTTGTTACAACCAAACCCACTGCTAGACGTTTTAAATTGTGTACATGAGTTTATTGTGGTAGGGCCTAATCACAGAATTTACTTGTTGAAAGTAGTGTTGAAAATAGTTTAAAATTGAATATAAATATAGGAAATGGAAACAAAAAAACTAACAAATCCAAAAAAAAAAACATACCTTTGTATGGGTTAGTTATTCTAACTATTGTAGCAAATATCTATATTATATATATTATATTACATACCTATAGGCCAGCACGCTACAATCTATATGGGACCAATGGAAGTACACTGTAAAATAGTGTCAACCCTCCCCATCTCCTCAGCCATGACATTTCTAGCAGATTTTCATGTAGATGTAGATGAAAATCTTGTGCAAGTTATATGGCAATTCTATTTTGTCCTGTAAACCCGTATTTATTAAACAGTCTTGCATCATCTACTCCAGGGTTGCTCAGGTCTTGCCCTGGAGGGCCAATGCCCTGCATAGTTGAGCTTCAACCCCGATCAAACACTCTTGAACAAGCTAATCAAGGTCTTCAGGGTCACTAGAAAACCACAGGTAGGGTGAGTTTGATCGGGGGTTTAGATAAACTCTGCACTCTGTCAGATTTTACTGTCACCTTAGGTGGTTGCTGCTCATCTGCAGTAGAAATGTATGTAACTAATTTCTAATTGGTTAAAACAGGGATGTTAAACTCAGCTCCTGGACGGCCACAGTCCTGTAGAGTTTATCTCCAAATTGCTCCAACACACCTAACCTTTAGTTTTCAAGTAATCCCAAAGACATTGGTTTGCTGGTTCAGGTGTGTTTAATTAGAGAGGGGGCTGAACTCTGCAATGCTGTGGCCCTACAGGAACCGAGATTGACATTCCTTCGTTAAACTGCTAGTGTTGCAGCTCACCCCGTGTTACAAAACTCGCCAGTCTGAAAATTAAAATGTCCCTTTTTTAGTAACCCTTAGATAGTATCTCGTCTGAAAATCAGGTTGTTTGTCGTAAAGATTAAGATTCTGGTCTTTTAATGATTTTGAATGAAATGTTTTACAAATTATGAACTCTAGAGGGTGCTCAATATCTTTTGTAGTTCAGTCTCTTTGGTTCTCCATATGCTGCTCCATATCCCCTCCCCCTGGCCTCCAGTTTAGATAAACTTGTGTGACCCACTTACTGCAATCTTTTGCTTAATGTTTAATTATTTGATTCTGAGTCTATATTAAGCCCTGTTTGCTGTGCATAATGATTTGATTATTTTAAACAGAGTATATATGTTAAGGATATTTCATGCTGTGCTATATTAAAGTACAAGTGTGAAATTTGAATTAGTCAAATATTGGAAGATTTCATCGGATTTCAACCAACATTCACAGAACTGGACAGACCTTTCTCACTGTAGTAACGTGGTTATTAATACACATTTCTGCATTTTCAGTGCACGTGACTGCCGTCCCAACGAACCCACCATGCCGATTGAACTCGCCATGCCGATTTATCTGACAAACGAAGAGTTCCTGAACCCGAGGGTGACTACATACAGCAGGCCCTTGCGGCCATGTCTGCACCGGTGTCAAAGTACCAAACTTGGTTTCGGCTCTCCGAGGGAGCAGCCAGAGTTGAATAGGGCCAGCGCACACGTGGCGATACCTGGCAGGGCCAAAAAACAAGTATCTTTTGCTGATCACAAGGGCCTCGCCCTGACGATGGTAAAGGTCTTTTCTGAATTTGATGACCCTATTGACATCCCAACCAACATTGTGCAGTTTTTTAGCTCTTTGGTGACTCTGCCAGAAGGGAAGGACAAGCTAACCCTCGACTTTGACCAGCCGTCTGCAGATTACTTAAAGTTTCGTCAACGTATAGAGAATGAAAACCTCTGCCTCGAACACTGCATGCTTAAGGAAAGATCTATAGCAGGGACGGTCAAAGTCAAAAACCTTTCCTTTGAGAAGTCCGTTAAGCTTCGCATTACGTTTGACACTTGGAAAAGTCACACAGACATAGAATGCCAGTACGTAAAGGACACTTACACCGGCTCAAACCGTGACACCTTTTCATTCGAAGCTACTTTGCCTGATCAGGTGCCTCCACATGAACGCATCGAGTTTGCCATTTGCTATGAGGTCAATGGCGTAACGCTCTGGGACAACAACCAAGGACAGAATTACAGAATTGTTCAATCAGCACTAAAGAAGAGTTCAAATGACTCTATGGTTGACCATCAGCGATATGGTGTGAGCGATTGGGACGTTCTTTTTGACCGATACGGCAGCCCCAGATGCTCACGTGGAATCTTTCCCAATTGGCCAAGCTATGCTGGATATGAAGACATCGGTCCATATTACTAAGAATCCACTTTTGGGACTGTTTATCCTGCACACATATCCATCAAACATTGTGATAAATGTCTCCTTAAAAAAACACGCCGTTCTTTGACCAAGGACCTGTTGGACTGTGAAGCCATATGGACACTTGAGATATCTATCGTCAATAATATTGGATTATGTTGTTCAATAGAGAATGAGTTATGTTTTTAAAAATAGTGTTTATGGTGCTATATGAATGTAATTTATGAGGGTAAATTTGTTTTTTTTGTTTTTTTTCAGTGCCTGTCAAATGCATTAATGCTAGTTTCTGTGCAGGGTTATGTGAAAGTTTTCGAGGTTGATTTTCGGTTTGTATGGATTTGCGTGGACCTTTATAAAATTATACAATGTTAATGAATTAAGTCTAAGTAAATCTGCAGGCCAGTATATTTGCTAAACTGTAAATCATGATCATACAATTTTGACTAAAATTAAGCTCTTTCTTGAGAGCAGCAAATGGTTTTCATCTGAAAAACCTTGCTAAGAGCAAAGACAGAATGACCCAAAAAGAACTCAGTGTTTTTCCCAAAAAAATGTGAGACCAGAGTTGTACTCAGCCTGGATATATGTATACGAATTCTTTCATATGTTTTTGTTCTTTCCTGAACAGCTCATTTTTAATGTAAAACTCTAAAAGTATTTACATTTCTTTATTTTAATTGACTATGACTGATTCTCACTGTGATTGACTGCACAACAGGATGATGATATTAGTGATACAAGTTAATATGTAATGTGTATCATTTGTTCAAGGTAATGTAGGCACTTTAATTTGTTGTTTAACTTCTTGTCACCCATTTTAAATGGCATTGTTTGAGTGTGAATACGGGTTTGCCAGAACCACTTTAAAGACATTGTTTAAAAAAGTTCTCTCAATGGTATTAGGTATGTTCATTATCTGCATTTTAATGCAATGTTTTAAATGTTCTTTGTCATTGAAACCTTCAAATAAAGTATTGGAGCAAAAAATACTTCTGACTTGTCCTCATTTAAAGACGACCTATAATTATGTAACTAGCAACACCAAGGAGAGGGGGGGGGGGGGGATAATATTGCAAGTGTTTCTACTTGGTGTATAGTTGTCTCTGCAGATTGATTAACCTCAGATAGGAGAATGTTACACACAAATTACACACTTTGAGAGGATATTTAATTTGGAATTATCTGAAGGGTGATTTATTTTTATGTAACAACGAGTACATAAACAATATAACCACGAATAAACTTGTAACAAAACTAAGTAAAAAGAAATAAATTTGATGGGGCTTTTATTCTACAATTGTTCGACCTTTCAATGACGACTTCCTGTGTACGTTGAAGCGTCAGGGCCAGCGTCTTGTTACTTGGTTCACGTTTAAGAAACGGCAGCTAATCAGAAGTTCAATTATTTGCAAACGGGCTAATTTTAAGTACAATGTACAAAAAAGGAACTTGAGAAATATAGACAAATAATTAGGGTTGTTATCATTCGCCCGGAGCGGATTACGTAAGAGACACCGAGCGTGAACGCGCCAAACCAGATGTAACGTAGGCTACGTGTTTGTGAAATTAACCGAATTATCAAAACTGATGGAGTCGCAGAAGAAGACCAGTCAATCTGCAAATAAGACTTCAGCGTCTGAGAATGATGAAGAGGAGGAATGCTGCGCTAATGTGAGTGTCTAATATTGCCAGAGTAAGTTAGAGCTCTGGCAAAATAATGCATTCCTAATATTTAACGGTTTTGTGAGAGTTACAGTCACCATCATTTATATTACAGGTCAAATACTTATTTGGTAAATGATTAATTTAGTTACAAGTCTTGTTATCAGTAACCAGTGACCATGTCGTGATTTTAACAAACTGTTTCATGTTAGATTTCTCCCACGTATGATTGCTGTTATACTTCGCAGAGTGTCAGCTTATGTTAGGTGTTGTTTTGACTCATATTTAGTAGAAATATGTATTATTTAGTTGCTTTTAACTGTTTTAGAGTGATTCACCCAAAATGTAAATGTACTTAAATTTTTTAACCCTCTGGTCATCATTAAAAATATAAATAAGTTTAATGCTCACTAGTGAATCCTCTGCAGTGAATGGGTGCCATCAGAATAAGAGTTCAAACTGCTGATAAAAATATCATAATAATACACAAGTTCTAATCCACACAACTCCAGTACATCATTTCATGTCTTGCGAAGTGAAAAGCTGTTGTTTGATAAACAAATCCATCAAGATGTTTTTAACTTCATGTCGTCGCTTCACAGTCCATTGTATTGCTTCCTCCAGTGAAAAAGCCTACTGACATATTTGTTTAGCGCTGTTCTTGGACCGTTTTCAGTTGTAAACTGTGCTTGATCTGTGTACAGTATATTTCTCTCCTGCTTCAGAAGAGATGACATTTTCACTGGAGAAAGTGATATTGTGGATAGAGGACTTATTTGAAGTTAAAAACATCTTAATGATGAATTTATTCATTAGAAACATGAAGCATATCACTTCACAAGGCATTAATTGATGGACTGGAGTTGTGTGGATTTTTGTGAAGTTTTTATCAAATGTTTGAACTCTCATTCTGACGGCACCCATTCACTGCAGAGGGTCCATTGGTGAGCAAGTGATGTAATGTTAAATTTCTCCAAATCTGTTCTGATTAAGAAACAAATGCATAAACACATAAGGATGAAACAACACTAACACTAAAAACATTTTTATTTCCTTGTTTCACATTTAGACTTCCTGTGAAAAAAATGAGAAGCAGAAGCCTTCATCACCGAAACAAGGAGATTTCAGTGATCCGGTATATAAAGAGATCGCAGTGGCAAATGGTGCCATCAACCGAATGAACAGAGATGAGCTGCGTGTGAAATGTGCTGAGCTGAAGCTTGACACGCGGTAGAGAGCTTTTATTGTTTTTGTTTTTTTTACATTTGTTTTACCTGCCTTTTACTCCAAATTCACTCATACAGTTTGTTTCTTTTCAGGGGAGTTAAGGATGTCCTGAGGAAGCGCCTAAAAAGTTACTACAAAAAGCAAAAACTGATGCATTCAGCTGCTGCAAATGGGAACACTGATACATATTTTGACTACATCTGTGTGGTGGATTTTGAAGCAACATGTGAAGAGAATAACCCACCTGACTACCTGCATGAAATCATTGAGTTTCCCATGGTGTTGATCGACATACACACCTTGGAGATTGTGAGTTGGTGAGGGAACAGTCTGGAACATGTGTGCTTGATTCTTCTCAGGCAAACATGGTGCCATACAGTATATTTAGTGTTAACTGTTTTAGGATTGATCTGCTAGTTGTGAAAAAATTATTTTAATTTGTGCCAAAATGAATCATTATTGATTTTAGCAAAGCCACAGTGATTGTTAAGCCCATGAACTGATCTTAACACTTACATGTAACACTTTTTTTTTCATTCGTATTTCGTTTGTAATCCCATTCCTGTCATTACAGGTAGACTCATTTCAGGAGTATGTGAAGCCAGTGGTGAACCCACAGCTCTCTGAGTTTTGTGTAAAACTTACCGGAATCACACAGGCAAGATTTATGAACTGCATATTGAATTAAATAACAATTTAAGATGTCTTCAATACCAGCCAAAAGTTTGAAGATGTACATTTTTTTTTTTTTTTTAAGATTTTTTGAAAAAGTTTATTTTTCAAATAAAAGCTATTCTTTTGAACTTTAAAGGATTTCTGAAGGCTCATGTGACACTGAAGACTGAAGTAATGCCTGCTTAAAATTTAGCTTTGCCATCATAGGAAGACTTTACATTTTAAAATGTATTCAAAAAAAAAAAGAAAAGAAATTAAATTCTTATAGTAATTCACATTTCAGCGCTTTTTAAAATACTGTTTATTTATTACTATTTTTGATTAAATAAATGCAACCTCAGTGAGCATAAAGAGCCTTCTAATAAAAAAAATAATAAAAAAAATTACTGACCCCAAACCTTTGAATGGTAGTGCTTTTCATGTGCCATCTATGTTTTTAGTCTAATATTAAATGGAAAGCAATTGCTCAAGCTTTCATTTTTAATTCTCAATATTTTTTCTTTTTTCTAGAAAATGGTGGATGAGGCAGAAACTTTCCATCAGGTTCTAAAGCGAGCAGTTTCTTGGCTACAGGAAAAAGAACTTGGCACAAAGTACAAATACACATTTTTGACAGATGGGTAAGGATTAACCAGACATTTTAAGCATGAATCTAATGAAATTCAATACAATGTACAGCTCACTATCTTGTCTGTGTAGGTCATGGGACATGGGAAAATTTCTTCATACCCAGTGTAAACTGAGTAGCATCCGATACCCACAGTTCGCCAGAAAATGGATCAATATCAGAAAGTCTTATAGAAACTTTTATAAGGTTTGTTTTTATGTTCATTTTTCTTATGATTCCTTATGAAGTCACAGAAAGAAAATCTGAATGAAAAAATTGTGTTTGGATGTAAATAAAGGGTCTTGGTATCTAAATAGTACAAATGGCTTAGGATACTTTAAGGTGGAAGTCGTGGCCTAATGGTTAAGAGAGTGGCTGCCTACTGCTCCGCGTGTGTGTTCACGGTGTGTGTGTGTTCACTGCTGTGTGTGTGCACTTTGGATGGGATAAATGCAGAGCACTAATTCCAAGTATGGGTCACCATACTTGGCCACATGTCACGTCACTTTAAAGATGAGTATCTGATATTTTATTACATTTCAACAAATACTGATGTTTTCGTGTGTCTCGTGCTTGTTTCTCACAGGTTCCTCGTACTCAGACGAAACTAATCTGCATGCTGGAGAATCTTGGTATGCAGTATGATGGACGTCCCCACTGTGGTCTAGATGACTCCCGCAACATTGCCAGAATTGCCATCCACATGCTGAAGGACGGCAGTCAGCTGCGGGTGAACGAGTGCTTGCATTCAGGAGAACCACGGAGCGTGCCTATCTCTGCCCCTATTGAAGGAGCCCCAGCACCTCAAACCCCCAAGAAAAGAGACTGAAAAGATCATTTAAAGACTCTTTCACAAAAATAACATCGCTTAATCTGGATAAATATGAGAACCTGTCTCCATGAGAATGTAAGATAAATGAGACTAACTAATGTGGGTTTTCTTAAAATTGTTCCAGAAATGTGTACAGTTTCTTTTCTGCAAAAGTTTACACAATAGCAGATCAGTGGGGTGAGGCTGTCTTTTCACTTTTACTAAAATTGAGTTTATGTACTGTATTTTGAAACTTGCTCCTGATAAACTGAAACAGTAGTTTCAAGTAAAAGGCTTTTTTCAAGCCTAACTGATGGGCGATTAATACTTGCAATACTGCATTGCATTGCTTTTCTTAATTCATGTTGCACTTCCAATGAAAAACTCAATTTGTATTCTTCTGTCAATAAATTTTTTTTTTTTATGATGCCACTACAATATTATTTTAAGAGATATATAATTTTATATGCTATTCCTATTTGCTCAAGATCTGATTTTCAAGTGTACTACATTTTTTTTAGTT